ATCTGAAAAATTAGATACTAAGACATAGAAATAGGAAATTTTTGGCAAGTAAACAAAGAAATAGTTAAAATGTTCTTTTTTTTTTTTTGGGTCATGAAATAGTTAAAATGTTGCCCCTAAAACAGGAAAATATTATATTCAATTATTCATATCCATAAAAAGAAGGAAAAAATATCATACTTACGTTAATAATTGCTTTTGAAATTAAGAAAAGAAATCACATTTTAATAATTAGTGACATACATTTGAGTTAATTTCACTAATCTCCTGTCATGTAATGATTTATCAATGATTAGTTAGTAGTCTCAAATATACCGATCTAATCCAAAAAATTTGTAGAAACAACAAAAATATAGTCTTGTCGGAGTCAAGAGAAACATAAATTTACTTGGTGTATTTACTCAATTGAAGATATATTGAGGTACACTGATTCATGAAGAAATTACAATATTTGTTCTTAAATCACTCAAACATGCTCCGGTAAGAGCAATATGTACTACTTCCTTACAATCACATGCTTAATTATTGCTAAACAAGTCCTAATTGGGCCAAGCCTACAAAATTAAAAGATGTTCACACAAACAATCTTGAATTTTATACATGGTGAGTGTGACTCAATCATGCTTGTGATAGTAGGCACTGAAAAGAAGAATCACAGCCTAAATCGCCTGGTTTGAGAAAACCATCACAATCTTATCTCCTCCTCATAACACTTTCTCTAGATACGAGCAAAGTCGCAAGTACAAAGAAACCAGGAGCTTCAACCTGAAATTGAATTGATTCATAGCTCAAACTTTTGATTAACATTCAAACAGAAAACTAGATACAAACACAAACTTATATAAACTTGAAGGAAAATATACTCCAGAAAATGGAACTTTGATAAACAAAGGGTGGAATAAATACTTGAGATCTAAAAGCAAGGTTATAGGGTTAAAAACAGACCTTAAAATGAAAGATTTTGGTTGTGTGTCTATGCAATCCCCTGCTTTTCTCCTTCATGCATCTTTATACGAGTTGATAATTTGGAGAAGGCTTCTGAATGTCTTCAACTCTTGATGTACAACCTGATTATTCAATCAAGAGAATTGATCAGCAAGTCGAAGTTGGAGTTAGAAGGAGGGTTATTTTCCTCAAATTTATTTGGGAACCCACACAGAGTTTTCAGTGACAAAAGAAAACAAGGAGTTTGCAATTGTGGGATAAATGGAGGGATTAAGATGTCACAAATTAAACATACTTACTTTCCACGCCATTTGATTGTTAGAGTATCTATCAAGATTCGGGGAATATGGGAAATCTTGGACCATTCCTCTCCTGCATAAATTTCAGAAAGCAAAGAATTTTCGCATTTTGTATCTTTTATGCATCTTTTCCTTAAATTAGGACAGTTTCTAATGTACAGCTCTTCAAGAGAAGAGAGGTTTCCCAACCAGTCTGGTAAAACTTCCACTCTCTTGAATTTTTCTAGAGTCAATGACTTGAGGGCAGTGAGATGTTGAAGCTGATCTGGCAGAAACCTTATTTTATCCCATCCTGTCAATCTTAAATCTTTCAGGGAAGCATGAAGGTGAAGGATGCAATCAAGTCTTGGGAACTCCTCCAAATCTGAAGCTGAAAGGACCCATCTTTAACTTCTTTAAGCCAGTGAGGTAGCGTAGGCACTCCCCCGAAATGCTAAAGCATTTTTCAATTCTCAAATGTTGAAGAGATGAGAGCCCGTTCATACTTGGGATATGCATCAGTTCGTCACATTTGCTAATCCTCAAATGAGACAACTTATGATGAGATGAAAATCCACCCATCTGCCAAATTTTCAACCGAGGACAATTGTCAATTTTCAAAATCTCAAGGCAAGGAAACACAATCTCGACTTTCCCTCCTGCTGCTATATCATCATCATCTACTTCAATCCATTCCTCTAAGCTTAGCAGGCTGTTTAAGCGGAGTTCCCTCAAAGCTGGGAACAGTTTGATTGATTCTACTCCTCCTGGACTATTACTTTTGGTGGGATCAAACTTATGACCCATTCTTATTACATTTTCAAAACCATCAATATGAAGAGACTTGAGACTAGGTAAAAGTCCCAAACTAGGAATATGTTCACAATTATGCCAACCATGTAATTCCAACTCCACCAGATTATTGGACAAAAATATAGCACCACCACTCATCATCCATGGCGGAAAGCCCTTTCCCATGTAACCCTCAATGCATAAACTTTTTAGATTTGTGTGAGGCTGAAGACCTTCTAGAACCTCCTCCTCATTGGCGCTGTATCTTTCCTCAAAATTACTCCACTCCAGTTTCAACCAGCGTATTCCTGTCTTTTCCTTTAGATTTGCTTTACTGGCTTCCAATCTCGAACGAACATGTTCAAGATCCTGAATCTTCAATCTTCCTCTGAGTTCGGTTAAGCCTCCCAGTTCTTCAATGCCACCCCCCTCTCCCATGTCTACAAAAAACGTAGGTAATGTTCGAAGGGAAGTTAGGTGCCCAATGCTCCTCAAGATAGACAAGCCATCATCGTCAAAACAAATGTGCCTCAAGCTGACCAAACTGGTTATCTTATCATGTGGCCACTCCAGATCAAAGAAACTATCTCCTCTGAAAGTTTGCAAATTATAGAGCTTGCAAAAAGACTCTGGTAGCATATAACCTCTTCTGTTTGAGATATCAAAGTATCTCAAATGCTTCAGTTCTCCAAGAGCAGGGTCCAACTCTTTTATGTCAACATCTCTAGAAATAGGGAACTCGACTCCTCCGAATTTTAAAGACCGCAAACTTTTGAGATTAGATGCCATGGCATTGAAAACAGCACCCACCTTCCCTTCTATGAACAAAGAACGCAGCCTTTGGAGAATATTAGCTGGAATGTCTGGAGGCTCACTTGCATCCTGCCTGACTCTCAAATGTAGAGAATACTAGCATTTTTATCAATCTTGCAACCAGCCTTCAGTATGAAAGTTTCGTCTTTTGAAACAGCCAATGCTAGATCATGGACCACATCATGCATCTTGCAATATTTGATCTCCCCATATGATGTCCTTTGCACATCTTGAAATAAGGAATTAGACAGCAAATAGTTAAAGTAGGCATCACCAACTTCTTCCATTGTCATGGAGTTTTCATTAGGTTGGTGAAGATATCCTTGAGCCATCCAGAGTTGAACTAAATCATCCTTTTCAATGACGAAATCCTTTGGAAAAATTGAACAATAGGAGAAGCATTTTTTCAAAGGTGAAGGCAAATGATCAAAACTTATTTTTAGTATAGATAAAATACCGTTTCCGTCTTTTGAATTCAAATTCCATGCATCATCTCTGATAGCCTTCCACTCACTTGTTTGACTTTCATGGCTCAATGTTCCTCCAATGACAGCTGCAGCCAATGGCAAGCCCCCACACTTCTTGGCAATTTCCATCCCAATAGTTTTCAAATTCGAAGAAATTAACGTTTGTTTAGAGAAAGTGAGAATTGTCTCTTCAATTATTGACCAGCATTCATCATCTGATAACTTATGCATTTTATCAATTTGCATAGAATTTTGCATAAGATTCGTCTTCATCATAGATGCTACGCCTTCATCACGAGCCGTCACCAAAATAGAATTCCTAGCTGTCGTCAAAATTCTTGAGAGACGATTGCTGAAAGCATTCCACTTGGGTTGATCTTTGTCCCACATGTCATCAAGAACAAGAAGAAAAGTCTTCTTTTTTAACCCCTCTGCAAGTTCTTGAACCAGTTTGTTGATGCTGCTTGGACGCTCACCATCTTTAATAAAATGTTCATGCATCTCTCTCAAAATTGTTTCCTCATTGAAGTCGTCAGAGACACACACCCAGGCAACTAGATCATAGCGCTTTTCTTCCTTTGCCTTATTGTATATTGATCTTGCTACTGTTGTCTTTCCAAGGCCCCCCATGCCAACTATTGAAACGCCAGAAACTAGATACTGTTTCTCCCTCAAGTCATCCAGGATGCCAAGAATTCTCTTAATATCATCTCCCCTTCCAAAAACTTTTGAATCACCAAACACAGAGTCTGTCTTGCGTAATTGCATGGCTGTTGAATGAAATTCGCGTGACACCAGCTTAAGTAGACGTGCGCGCTCTTCTAATTTATTAAGCCGCACATTAATATCTTTTATTTTGTCAACAATATCAGAAGTGAATGAATTCCTTTTCCTCTCCTCCTCCCCAGGAGTCTCAACACGGCAGCGAAGATGCTCATAATCACACTCATCCAGCACATCCTCAACATCATAAGCTAGCCTTTGGAGATGTTGTAACCAGAGCCTTACAGAGTCATCACTTTCTTTTCCCTGTTTTCGCTCTGCATCATTGATCATAGACTGGATAAACTTGAGGGAGTCTCTAAGGTTCGTCAGCTGCGCCTCGTGATCAGATTCCGCCTCGCGAACAGATTCCGCCTCGTGATCAGATTCCGCCTCGTGATCAGATTCCGCCTCGCGATCAGATTCCGCCTCGCGATCAGAAGAATCTGAAGCTGTCCACCATCTACGAGCACGTGGAATCACTTCGTCAGCCAACGCATCTATAATACGGGGGAGGATGTAGTTGGTGACAAACTCAAACGCCATGCTTGGAGACAGAGAAAGATCAAGCAAGCAACTGAATTCTGATACAAAGGAAAAACAGAATAGTGTTGTGAGAGCCGACAAGAAGGAAAGGAAAAAACAAAAGAGGAAAATCAGAATAATGTTTTCTCATATATTGAATTGTCTGTTATTATGTTTTAATCCTGTGAGTTTTCTCTTTTTCCTTTATCACAGCTTTCTCTTTCACAGAATCAAATATTGATACACCTGATCTTATTAACCATAGAAGCACTCTTCAAATTCATGAATAATAGATAGAAATCAGTCAAGAAATTGTTTGAGTAGCTATCAAATTATACATATTAGTTGAAGGAAAACAGAAAAGTAAGCAATATGAAATAGATACTTCTTCTTTTTTTCCGTAAAAAAAGAGATGGAATTTTACTAAAATAATAATAACAATGTCGAGCGTCCAATATAAAACAGCCAAGAGTCTCACTTATCTCTTTTAAGTTTTTTTGTTGGATTTTGTAATCAAACAAACAATACAACATACAAGCAAAAATCAATGAACTTGAAAGGTACAATTGTTATAGTTTAAGCCTCTCTACCAAAATACTAAAGAATTTCCCAGAGCTTTTGAAAGCAGTTAAAGAGCAGAAAAATGTAGTCACTTACCAGATCTCAAGTGCCAAACCAGCAGGGCAAACACGAGAATTCAGAGAGGAAAACGAGAAGCTGTTTTTTTGAGACTCGAGAACAATTAGCTGAGATAATGGGGAAGAAGGTAGTGGTTTATGATGACTTTGATGCTTTTTCTTCAATATTTCCTCTTTCTTCTTTCTTTTATTTGTTTTTTCCTCTTTATTCTTTCTTTTCTTCCCTCAATTAAAGTGATTTGTCTTTTCACACCAGCGAACCGCGTACCCGTTTCTTCTCCTAATTCAGCATTTTTTTAAAGGTTAAACCCCCATTTTGGTCCCTCAACTATCGTACGGACCCTCGACTTAATCCCTCAACTCAAAAAATCCCTGATTTGGTCACTACTGTTTACCATTTTGACCCCGATTTAGTCCCTCCGTTAAAAATCCGTTAAAAATCTAGTGACGTGTCCTTGATTAACAAAAGCACGATGACATGTCAACAATAAAGTGACACCTCAAACGCACACCTGGAAAAAAAATGACATGGCAGTATGACTCATTCTGCCCCAAAACCAAACAAGAAAAAAAAGTGGGTCCCACATCCTGCAAAACTTGAACCCTTCTCCCCCTTTCTTCCCTAAACCCATTCGAACCTAGAACAACAGTGCTCTCCAGTTCCTCAGCAAGCCTTGCAGTCTTCATCATCATCAACCAACCAATCAAATCCACAGAAAAAAAAAAAAGAGATTTTTTTTTATTTTTTCTCCTGAGTTCGTTCGAAACCCAAAGCCGAACCCAGGCTCTGGGTTTCGAACAAACCCAGAACCTTGTCTGGGTTCGTTTCATCATCATCAACCAACCAATCAAATCCACAGAAAAAG